GAGCAGACAAAGCCAATTACTATAATGAAATGTGCAAAGACCTGGAGTTAGAAAACCAAAAGGGAAGAACACACTCAGTATTTCTCAAGCTGAAAGTACTGAGGAAAAAATTTAAGACTCGAGTTGCAATACTTAAAGATTCTATGGGCAAAATATTGAATGATGCAGGAAACATCAAGAGAAGATGGCAGGAATACACAGAGTCACTGTACCAAAAAGAACTGGTCCATCTTCATCCATTTCAGGAGGTGGTATATGATCAAGAACCAATGGTGTTGAAGGAGGAAATCTAAGGTGCACTGAAGGAATTGGCGAAGAACAAGGCTCCGGGAATTGATTGCATACCAATTGAGATAATTCAACAAACGGATGCCCCGCTGGAGGCACTTACTCAGTTATGCCAAGAGATTTGGAAGACAGCTACCTGGCCAACTGCCTGGAAGAGATCCATATTTGTATCCATTCCAATGAAAGGTGATCCCACAGAATGTAGAAATTATAGAACAATATCATTAATATCGATCATTAACAACCTATGATATGCTGATGACACAACTTGCTGAAAGTGAAGATGACTTGAGGCACTTACTGATGAAGATTGAAGACTACAGTCTGCAGTATGGATTACACCTCAATGTAAAGAAAACAAACATTCTCACAACTGGACCTATAAGCAGCATCACAATAAACGGAGAAAAAAATTGAGGTTGTCAGAGAATTCATATTGGTTGGTTCTACAATCGATGCCAATGGAAGCAGCAGTCAGGACATTAGACGATGTATAGCACTGGCCAAGTTAGCTGCAAAGGACCTCTTTCAAGTGCTGAGGAGCAAGGATGTCTCCTTGAGGACTAAGGTGTGCCTGACACAAGCCATGATGTTTTTAATTGCCTCATATACATGTGAGATCTGGACAATGAATAAGGAAGACTGAAGAAGAGTTGATGCTTTTGAGTTGTGGTGCTGGCGAAGAATATTGAAAGTACCATCAACTGCTAAAAACACCTAACAAGTCTGTCCTGGAGGAAGTACAGCCAGAATGCTCCTTGGAAGCGAGAATGGTCAGAGTTCGTCTCACCTACTTTGGTCATGTTGTCAGAAGGGACCATTCCCTGGAGAAAGATGTCATGCTTGGTAAGGTAGAGGGTCGATGAATGAGAGGAAGGCCTTCAACGAGATGGACTGACACAGTGGCTGCGACGATGGGCTCAAGTATAGCAAGCATCATGGGGCTGGCGAGGGATTGGGGGGTGTTTCGTTCTGCTGTGCACAGGGTCGCTGTGAGTCGGTTATGATTCAGTGGCACCTAACAACAATCTCTATGGAAGTAGATCGCCCCATCTTCCTTCTACAGAGTGGCTGGTGGGTTTGAACTGCCAGCCTTCTGGTTAGCAGTCAAATGCCTAGGTACTATGCCACCAAAGTGACCTAAAAAGAGCAGCCAAAAAAAAAAAAAAAAATTCAAACTGTATGCAGCTGTCTTGCTGTTAATAACCATGTTACCGTTTTGAACCAACTCCTGTGAGGACACAAATAGGTGAATGGTATAAAGAACCAACATTTTCAGCTTAAGAGACACAAAAATCAAAGAATTTGAGTAAAACATTCCATCATCTTATAATTTGGACACGTCAGTGTGAACTAGTATCTCTTCTCTTTAATGTGTGTTTCCCATGCTGACATGGTTGGGGTGAAGGGCTGTCCCTTCCTAGTTCCTCTCACACAGAGCAGTGAAAATAAACACAGAAGGGGATAAACGCCCTAGGCAGCTTCCTGGCTGTCTGTGGAAGGGCTCTAATGTCTCCGTGCAGACTGCAGCCTCTGGAGAGGTGGGCCCAGGTCCGGCAGGAAGCTTCCAGGGAGGGCCTAACACCCCATGGCCATGGAGGCTCGCCTGGCTCAGGTGGGGTCATCGAAGGCGAAGATAGCACTTGACTCAAGTCCTTGGCTCCACCCTGTCCTGAGCACTGCGGTGAAGAAATGGGTGGGAGGAGCATGATGACCACTGGGCACCCAAGGCTGCTGGGCGTCACCCCAGATGATAGGACGGAGGCAGAGGCCCCTCCCACTGGGTGAACATTGTCAGCGTCACCACATGGAGCCGGCGAAGCCATGCTGTGGAGGATCTGGGCCATGGACGCAACTGCTCAGGAAAACCAGCGTTGGCAGCCCTGATGCTCTGGGCAGTGGCCACCCACGATGGCCACGCCGGGGTGAGAGGGTCCAGGCGGGCCCCAGCTGTGGCTGTGGAGGCTGCAATCTTAGCATCACCACAGTGGGCCTACAGTGTGCTGCAAGCCGGCCAGCCCCAAAAGACTGATGGGCAGAGGACCAGAGAGACAGGGCCACTCCCAGAAGGGGTGGCTTGCCACAAGCCTGGGTGGGGGGATAGAGAGGACGCTCCAGACTGAAGCTGCGTGGGCCTGGCCTCAAACGTGCCCGTGCACACGTACTCTCCAGCCCTGAGGGCCATCTGAGTGGGGGGTATGAGGGAACGTTCCAGACTTGTCATCCTGTTGTGATGGCACCGTGGCAGTCCTGTGCTCAGCCTGCAGCTCCCGCCCTCCTGCCAAGCTCTGGGCGCAGCCTCCAGATGCCCTTCCAGCCGGCAGTGGGCAGGCCTGGGATGCAGGGTGTATGTGGGGGGCACTTCCTTGGTGCCTCCAGGATCCCGAGTCCTGCTGCACTAGGCTCTTTGCCGGCAGCTCCAGCCCTGTGTGCCCCTTGGCACCAGACACCAGCTAGTCACTAGTCCCCACATGCTGGCCATGCCGCCCCACTCCAGAAGGCCAAGCAGTAGCCAGGCCCATCCTCTGAGACCCCAGGTCCCTGGCTCTAAGTGGCTACTGCTGCCTCCATCACAGGCCACAGCACCTCCTTCCCAGCTGCCCGCCTCCAACACCACGTGGCCCAGTCTCATGTACTTGGTATTGAGAAAAGGAAAAGCGTGTTGTTTTCATCTTAAGATACCCGGACAAACATTTAAAGGTAAATGACATTATGTCTGAATTTGCTTAAAAACACTCTAGCACGTGCGTGCACACACACACAAACACACATGCAGAGATGATACACACATACAGAGATGAAAGGCATGTGGGAAGACACTGGCCGGAGATTGAGTGACAGGTTAGCGTGTGTGTGAGAACTTCATGGTAAGCAGGACAAACAGAAGACACAAGGTGTGTTACAGGTAACAGAATTCACAAACCGACACTCAACCAGCTGTGGGTCTTGTGTGGGAGCCAACACCTTCTGTTCAGAGCGGGGGTGGGTGGGGGGTGGGGTCCTGAACCTCCCATAGCTCTTTGTAGAATTAACAGAAAGTACAGTGCCACCATTTCTGCCTTCAGCTACCACTGACTACCTTCTTGAAAATGCTGGGCTTTTAGCTCATGTGGAAACTGCAGAGAAAAACTAGGGGAGACGAAGCAAGTCACCCCGTTTCTCAGGGAGACAGACCGTCACTGCAGAGAGAAACGGTGCACACAGTGACGATACTCAAACTCCTCAGCCGTAAAAATAAAGGCCTTTTATTTGGTTTCTACTCCGTACAGGACACGGGAGCAACACTCTCTGCCACACTCCTTCCAGGCTGCCCTCCAGGCTCATGGCGTCACCTTCTTGTAGGTGATGTGCAGATGCTGGGTCATGGGCTGGGTACTGGTTGCCATGGAGACCGTCTGCTCGAGTTTGCCTTCAGAATTCAGCCGGAACTTTCGAGTAATCTAAGCATGACAAGAAACCAAACACACAAACACCTTAGTTTCATCAAAAGGTTCAACAAAAGTTCGGGTGCTGGCTGTGGGCAGTCGTCCCTGCATGTCACCTGACTTGTCACACACTTAATGGACCAGGCAGTGTCACCACCACAGGTGACAGGCACCTACCAGAGCCACCAACGGGCTTGTCTCAAGCAAGGCATGAGGCTACATCTTTTCACTGCCCCCAGCTGCCCCGTGAATGGGGGACCAGGTCGGACAAACGCTCAACTTCCCAAAGATGTCAAGTGTGTTCCTGAAAAGTCAGTAGCAGACCTCTGAAAGCTCGAAGAGGGCAGAGTAGATCACCATGCTGTTTCCAGTGGGAGCCCAAGGCTGCAGCAACCAAACAGGACAACAGTAAACGCTGGCGTCCTGACTCTCTGTCGGCAAGGAGGAGCTGTGACCCACGGCCAGTGCTGAGGCTCACAGACCACCTTCTTCTTTCTGACACTCAGGAACATTCTGGAAGGCACCAAGTCGGCCTCTGCTTCTGGTCACACTGTAACTGTAACCTACCAAGTGCCTCGAGGACAGAAAGCCAGAGCAGCAGACTGGTGAAGGGCATCAGAGAAGATGGCAGCAAGGACCAGGCCCCTGGGATGAGGTGCAGCAGGGACTGCTGGGGACTGCAAGCTGCATCAAGAGGTCGAGGGGACAAGTGTGGAGGCCAAGATGAAGCAGAAGTAGTGGCCAAGGGGCTGAGAAGCTAAGTTTTCCGGGAGAGACCTTGGAAAACGCACCAGGCTTGCAGTTGGCACCCCAGAAGTGAGGGCTACACAGAGATACAGCAGGTCTTCCCAAGAAGGAAAGCTTCAAAACAGCTTGTCTCAAATTAACACAACCAGCCCCTGCCTGACCAACACCCAGACACAAGAATTGTCATTTGGTGAAAGTTACCATCAAGCAACTTCCAACCCATGCCCGGAATTTCTCATAGATCATGTCCAGAATTCAAAACCAAAAGAAAGCACTATTGCTAGTAAGCCAGGGAATAAGAGACTTTCAAAAGAAAAACCAGGTGATGGAAGCTAACACATATGCACACAGCCATCACAAGCACATGCAACACACCACAGCCATCACACACGCACGTGCACACACGTCTACACCCAACACGCACAAACACACCACAGTCACCACAGACGCACGTGCACACATGTCCACACCCAACACGCACAAACACACCACAGTCATCACACACGCACGTGCACACATATCCACACCCAACACGCACAAACACAGGGCATGCACACACCAGTCACCACACACACACATGCACATACCACACACACTGCATGCACACCACTCATCACACATGTACAAACACCTACCACATGCACATGTAAACACATGGCATGCACACACCAATCACACATTGTGTGTACATACCCACACCACACACATGCACTCACCACATACATGTGCCACATACACATCACCATACGTACTCACTGTGCATATACCACATACACACACCAGTTACTACATGCACACTCACCACATATCACCACATGCACAGTCACCATGTTCATGCACTTACCACATGCACACATGTGCTCACATGCACACTCCCCCCACACACACATATCAGGGAGGCCCACAGTGCTGCCACTGGGGCCGGTGAACTGGAAGACAGTCAGTAGAAGATGTCCAGGCTGACATGTGGAGAGAAGGAAGTGAAGAAAACAGGGTGAAGGCCCAAGAGACCCCAGACCCTGAAAGCAGTTCAAATGTGAGACTGAGTCCAAGAAGGAGAAGGGGCAAAGAGTGGGTACAAGCAGGGCTGGAAGAGCTTACAGCCACTCTTCTGAGACCAACAACAGAAATCCAGCCTCCTTCAAATCACATCGCAGCAGGACTCTGGCTGGTGACCAAAGACAGACACACACAGCCAGGGCTGGAGCAGCTCCTTCTAAGGAGCGGCCCTGAGACTCGACAGCGCCTTCTCAAGACAAAGAGGGTAGCAGAAGACAGTGGGATGGTATCTTCAAAGTTCCCAAAGAAACTCCTGTCACCCTCGGCCTCCAGCTGCTGAGAAAGGACTCTTGAGAGATGGAGGCAAAACAGACATTTTTAGACAAACCCGAGAATGCACTGTCATGGACGTCGGACAGTTATAATGCCGGGGGCGGGGGGTAATACGTACACACGTTAAAATACACAAGAGAAAAGCAAAAAAAGCGGAGGATGGTCAGTGCAGGTGAAGTGTCCCAAGGCTTCGGGAAGAGTGGCCCCTGTGGTCCCAGGACCAGCAGCAGCAGCGCCACCTCCTGGAGGCTGATAGAAGTGCAGTGACAGGCTCTGCCCACGAGGACTGGATGGAGCCACAGCGACACAGACACACAGGTGACAGCTGGACAAGTGCTCTCCAAAGGCCCTCAGTTCAAAGCAGTCAAAGCATTGGTTTAGAGTAGACTCAAGTGAGACAAGTGACTGCTAACAGTGAGAGGACGCATATGAGCCAAGGGTGGAGGAGAGAGAGGCCAGCGTGCAGAACAAGGAAGACCAACAGGGACACGAGCTGGTGTGAGGCAAGCATCCTCAGGCGGCGGCAGCTGCCAGGAGGTTCGTGTACTTCATTAAAATAAACCGTCAAGGCTTTTACGGCAGGAATTCAGTGCACACATCCCTATAGCACCACCCAGTTCGGGGCAGCTTCTGACGGATGTCGGTGCCCACTCACGCAGCAGCCACCAGACGGCCGAGGGCTCTGTTACTGGCACTGGCCACAGCGGCTCATTCAGCACCAAGCCAGCCACTGGCAGGAGCAGCTCACCGGCAGGGTTGGCTGCCCGCGCTGCTTCGGGCTTTGCGGGTGGAACTTCTCGTGCTGCCTTCCTGTAAAGGGAGACCCACTGGGAAGGTTCAAACTGAGCAGGCCACGTACCGCCTCGCCTGGGCTCAACATTGGCGACTGAGGGAAGAGACTGAGACGGGGAGAGGACTGCAGAAAGGCACACGCAGACACACGCGCACGCACACACACAGACACACGTGCACGCACACACACACGTGCACGCACACACTCAGACACACGTGCACGCACACAGACACACGTGTACGCACACACTCAGACACACGTGCACGCACACTCAGACACGCACGCGCATGCACACACTCAGACACACATGCGCACACACTCAGACACGCACGCGCATGCACACACGCAGACACACGTGCACGCACACACTCAGACACGCATGCGCTGACTGAAGGAGCAGCAGGTGAGGGAGGGGCGTCCTGGGTGATGTTCTAGAGGCAGGCTAGAGAACGAGGGGCAGGCGCAGGGACCCCGAGGGCTGAGTGTCAGGAAAGGAGCAAGGTGTCTGTGGCATACACGAAGCAAGATGCCCAGATGTGTTAGTGAATTTCATGAAAACAGCAGGTTACAACTGTCTGTGAGCATGACGTGGACAATCCCTGAAAACATGATAATGACTGAACGACAGAGACCAGACCGAAAAGGCCACATCCTGTGTGATTCCATTCATAAAAAATCCACAACGGGCAGATCCACACCGACAGACAAGGTCACCTACTACGACGGGCAGATCCACACCGACAGACAAGGTCACCTACAACGGGGAGATCCACACCGACACACATGGTCACCTACTATGACAGGCAGATCCACACTGACAAGACAAGGTCCACACCGACAGACATGGCCACCTACTATGACGGGCAGATCTATACTTACAAACAAGGTCACCTACTATGACGGGGAGATCCATACCAACAGACGAGGTCAACTACTACAATGGGCAAAGACAGGGAGCTGGGAAACCAAAATGGAAGAGCACGCTTGGTACTTCTCAAACTTAAAGAAATGAAGGGAAAATTCAAGCCTCGAGCTGAAAGATTCTATGGGCAAAATATTGAGCCCTGCAGGAGGTATCAAAAGAAGATGGAAGGAATACACAGAGTAACTGCAACAAAAAGAAATGGTTGATGATCAACCATTTCAGGAGGCAGCACATGATCAAGAACCAATGATAATGAAGGAAGAAGTCCAAGCTGCACTGAAGGAACTGGCAAAGACAAGCTCCAGGAATTAATAGAATACCAATACAAATGGATGCAGCACTGGAAACACTCATTTCTGCCAAGAAATCTGGAAGATAGCCACCTGGCCAACTGACTAGAGAAGAGTCACGTTTGTGTCCATCCCAAAGAAACGTGATCCAACAGAATGTGGAAATTATTCAAAAATATCATTAATATCACATACAAGTAAAATCTTGCTGAAGATAATTTACAAATATGGTTACTGACTGGGAAATTCCAGAATCAAGCCAGATTCAGGAGAGGACATGGAATGAGGGATATCATTGCTGATGTCAGATGGATCCTGGCTGAAAGCAAAGAATACCAGAAAGAGGTTTACCTATGTTTATTTGACTGTGCAAAGACACTCGACTGTGTGGATCACAGCAAACTGCGGATAACACTGTAAAGAACAGGAATTCCGGAACACCTAATCAGGCTCATTTGGAACTTGTACATAGACCTAGAGACAGTTGTTCTAACACAACAAAGGGATACTGAGTGGTTTAAAATCAGGAAGGGAGTGTGTCAGGGCTGTGTTCTTTCCTATACTTACTCAATCTGCAAGCTGAGCAAACAATCCGAGAAGCTGGACTCTATGAATTAGAACGTGGCATCGAGACTGGAAGAAGAGTCGTTAACAACCTGTAACATGCAGATGACATAACCTTGCTTGCTGAGAGCAAAGAGGACTTGCAGCACTTATTGATGAAGATCAAAGACTGTAGATGTCAGTATGGATTACATCTTAACATAAAGAAAACAAAATTCCTTACTGAAAACAAAACAAAAATCTGACTGAACCAATAAGCAACGTCATGAAAAACAGAGAAATGACTGAAGTTGCCAAAGATTTCATTTTACTTGGATCCACAATCGATGCTCTGGGAAGCAGCAGCCAAGAAATCCAACGACAT